AGATTCTGTGAGAATTTAGCGGTGAGAGAAATTAGCTATGTATTTACTCTGCCTGGAGGCTTGTCAGGAATTCTCTGGTGAACTAGGTCACCCAAGATGCCACAGATGGTATGCTCTGAAGAGAGACACCTGAGACTGTGGATCTTGGTGCCTTGGTACCCATCCTCAGCGTCAGCAACCTTAGGCCAGTCAGAGGGAGCGGAGAGAAACCTAGGGCTGTTTCCCTGTGGAAGCTGAATGTCAGAGAAGCAGTAACTTTTACATATGTCCAATGTAGCACCGGAGTTATAAGATGTTTCTATTGCTTTCAAGAGACACCATGACCACAGCAACTCCTAAAAAGGAAAATTAACCGGCTTACAGTTCAGAGGCTCGGTCTATTATCATCATGGTGGGAAATGGCAGTGTTCTGGTGCACATGGTGCTGAAGAAGTGGCTGAGAGTCCTACATCTTCCAGGCAACAGGTAGTGGTCTGAGCCACTGGGAGGTATCTTGAGCATATATGAGACCTCAAAGCCCGCCTCCACAGTGACACGCTTCCTCCAACAAGACCACGCCTACTCCAGAAGGCCACACCCCCTAACCGTGCCACTTCCTTTGGGGGCCATTTTCTTTCAGACCACCACAGCTGGGGATATAGCTGTCAGTAAGATGCCTGATATTTACTCGTGAAGACCTGAGTTTGAGCCCCAGAACCCACATAAAAGCTGAGCATATACCTACACATGTACTCTCAGTCCTGGAGGGAGCAGAGACAGGGACATCTCAGGGCTCACTGGCCAGCCACCCTAAAAGCTCCAGGCCAACGAGAGACTCTGTATCAGAAACAAGGCGGATGGAGCCTGAGCAGGGACATCCAAGGTTGACCTCTGCCCTCCATGTGCATGAGCATCCACACAATCACATATCTCTGTAGCAAGATAGAGTCCTTTGGGTGTATAGCTGGATCTTGAGGTAGATCAAGTCCCAGCTTCCCGAGGATCCTCCAACGCTGGTTTCATTAGTGGCTGCACAAGTTTGCACTCCCAGCATCAATGAATAGGTGTCCCCTTTCCCCACATCTCACCAGCATGAGCCATTTTTTTTTTAATTTTTTTGGGGTTTTTTTGTTTTTTTTTTGTTGTTGTTTATTGCTTTTGGCCATTCTGATTAGGGTAGATGAAATCTCAAATTAGTTTTAATTTCCCTGGTGACAAAGGATGTTGGGCATTTCTTTGTTTCTCAGCCATTTGTATTTCATCTTTTGAGGACTCTACTTAGTTTTGTACCCATCTTTATTTGTTTTGATTTTTTGTGTCAAGTTTATTATATATTTATATAATATATAGAATAGAATATATATATTCTGGATACAAACCCTCTCTCCGATGTGTAATTGGGGAAAAGCTGCAGTTTTCTTTGCTATTATCTATATAGACGATCCCTAATACATAATGGTTCATCTTAAGTTTTTTGACTCTCCCTGGGCTAGTGAAATGGGTCATGTGGAACTCTGGAGGCCAGTCAGCTGCTGGTGACTGCACAATTCTGTCATCCCTGCCATGTCATGGGGTTAGGGGGTGGCACATAGGACATATGACACATGACATCCCTGCCATGTCATACGGATAGGGGGTGGCACATAGGACATATGACACATGACATTGGCGTTCCCTGAAGCTTGGTAGGACAGGTATAGCAAAACATTTCCTACTCAGGATGGTTTTGACTTATGGCAGGTCTGTCAGAACTAGTTGATGTTGAGAAACACCTATAGGCTGTTGTTATGATCTTGCGTCATTACACTAATGGTGATAACTTAATTAAGTATACCGATATGATATAACAGATATATCAGAAGCACACACGTAGAACCAGTTTGCTGAGAAATTTTCACCAAGCCAGCTCCCACTAAAACCACAACCTTCTTCATCCGGAAATACCATCTGCCCTGAGCTCCCCCTGGTGGCCTCTTTCTAGTTATTACACCCCAGAGTCAGTTGCTGCGTTATACAGGATGGCGCAGCTCTGTAATCCCAGCACTGGGGTGGTGGAGGCAAAAGAACTATGAATTCAAGACCTAGTTGGGGCAACATAGTAGAATCATATTAAGAAAAAAACTCCTGTAGCTGAGGTACTTGCTTAGTATGCTCCAGGCCCTGGTACCCATCTCCAATACATAAAATATAAAAGCACACAGGACCGCACAGGCACAGAGGTCTTCCTCGTGTTCTGTAGGCATCTCTTCTGGAAGCATCGGGAGGTTTTCCCCACTGGGAAGCTCTTCTGTGCTGAAGCAAAGTCTTACCACGTGGACTACAATCATCCGCAGGCCAGTGAGCCTTTCCTTTCCCCGTTGTGTGTGACAGTGCACTGCAACCGAAGGTTCTGGAACGCTAAAAGCAGTGCGGAGATGTCACGCCCCTTCTCACCTGTGCACACACTGTACACAACCGTCCTTAGATGGTTGCTCATGCAGAGCTTGCCTCTTCTTTGCTGGTAGGGGTCAACTTGATCCTTTTCACCTGTGATCCTCGTTCATGTGGCATAAGGGGTGGTACTGGGCAAGAATCTGTACTCAGCCACCCCGCTTTGACACTTAGTACTAGGGGCCCTGGAGCTGTGGGGGTTGATCCACTAACAGTGACACCCTCACATCTTGGGAGGATCCCTCCAAAGATGTGGTCATCGCTCCCACAACTATGCAACCATCCACCACAGGGTCCGTCTTCTCCACTCGCTGTTCTGAACCCTGAAGATTGTCTAGTACCTTTCCCTCAGAGGTCTGGACAGCTTTCCCCTTTACTACAGAAAGGAACGAGGCATCACATGCACATATGCCCTTGCAAGTGCTCAGGCGTGCGTGTGCACAGTCACACCCACACACTCACACGTGCACACCTTACCTGCCACTCTTTCTTCCTTCACTTGAGCCGAGTTTGTAAAAGCTTTGCAAGTTCTGGAAATGCTTTTTTTTTCATTAAGCAAAAGATGACACTATAATTCCCAAACTGAAGACAAACCATGCTGCAATCTTCCTGCCAGAAGTGTGACCGCCAAGAGCCATTCATCCCATGGGTCTGTAGATGAGTCAGCTTCCTGACAGTGACAATTGTCCCCAGCAGCTTATCTTGCCAAAAGTCTGTTACTTTGAATGAATTCAGACAACTGGAGTTCAAGGCGTTCTTTAAAGGGACTTTCCTGGACTTTAAAGGGACTTGGTTTCTTTCTCTAACCAAGTCATCTATCAAGGTGAGTTTTCCTCCAACTTAGCAGCAACCTGGAATTTCATTTGACAGCACAAGCATCATTAGACCTGGATACTACAATGAAAGCCACATTCCCTGACCCTGAATCCAAAACTGGCAGTGCAAAGGGGTCTTCAGGTGGAAGCTCGCACGCTCTTATATGAGCCCCACTGGGGAGTGAAATGAGCTGCTTCTTGAGAGCCTGGGCCAGCAGGGATATGCTTAGCTGGTTGTCAGTTGTCGTGGCTGTGGGGACTTGCCTGCAAGTCATTACAATGCTTGCTGTACTCGAGAAAGATAATGTATCTGTGGCTCACTCCTTTGTGATTTCCGGGAGCATATAAACATAATCTGACTCCGAAAGCTTTAGGGTACAACTTTATTTGGGCAAATCATGTTCCCTCAGCCCCAATAAAACTCTACCAAGATTGTCAGCCTCTCCTGCTCACCCAGTGGAGGAGGACGGTGACGGACTGGCTGCGGTGCCGGTTTGGTACATGCTGAAGGTGGTCTGGTCATGCTGCCATCAGAGTGAGGGGCTGGTAAGAGCTGTGAAGCCATTTTGCAGTTTATGGCCCACGATGATGCTCAAAAGCTTTTCAAGGGCTTTGGACCTCATGGCCGTTCTTTTAGCTCTGTCTCGAGCTGCAGGGGAGGTTAGTTCCAGTTCTGGAGACCGGTGTGTAAGTTGCAGCACGTGGAGGTGAAGGGGAAGCTTTCCTTGTCTGTGCTGAAGAATGGGAAGACTTGGGAGGGAAGGCGGCCAGACTCCAGCATCTTCACATGGAGCTTGGATCTGCAGCATCTTCCTCCCACACCTGCAACACCGGGACCTCTGTGTTCTAACTCCAGAGCTGTCCTGGGCCTACCCTGAGAGACACTGAGAGTTGAGCCTTTTTTTTTTTTAATCCAGCAGGTCCCTCTGTATGCTTACAAACCTCCCTCAAGCGTCCACCAGAACATCTGGAAGCCCCCAGGGTACATGCAACACACTGGGTATCCCCAGCCCTGAAGTTGTGATGTATGTGGGGGGTGGGATCTTCTAAAATGCGGGTTTGATGGACTTTTTAGTTCAGAACTAGAAACTGGCATATTAAACCACTTCCCCCTTTTCTCTCTCACAGAAAAAAAGAAAATAAAAAAATTAACAAAATGTTAGCTAGATAGATAGGGGGTGATTTGCAGTTTTCCCTGCCTTTATGTTATTACTGCTTTGGGTTTATCTTATTTATTCTTTGTATTTTGAGACAGCTGTGTTGCTCCTGGTTCCTTTCCTTCGGCTGCCTAAAGGCTGGCACAGAAGGCATGAGCCACCACCCTTAGCCTAAGATATATTCTCTTTTAAAATTAGAATAGGAACAGAGGTGTTGTGCAGCCTGTGAGGGTTTGGGCGGGCCAGACGGGTGGGGGGGGGCGGGTAGGAGCTCGTGGAGTGAGACCCATCGAGCGTTGTGGGTAAAATGGGCTCAGGGGTGTCTGCCATAAAGCTTGATGCATATGCTCAGGGGTTGTGGTTGGTTTGGTTTGGTTTGGGTTTCGGCTGGCTTAGAATTCACTATGTAGCCCAAGCTGGCCTTCAACTGTGATCTTCCTGCTTCGGCTCCCAAGGGTCAGGATTGTAGGCATGTACATAGCCCGCTGAAACACTCAATTTTACGTGTGTTTGTGCCGTGTGAATCGCACTTCCTTGCGGGCCCCTTGGGCTGTTCCCCTCTGGGAATGTGTGGTCTCTGCTGGACAGGCCTGGCTCATTCTGCTCCTTCTTCTTACAGTTGCCCATGATGGGAGGAGCGTTCATGGACTCACCCAACGAGGACTTCAGCACCGAATACTCCCTGTTTAGCTCCCCTGCCAACGTCCACACGACCTCCAATGGCCACGGCCAGCCAGAGGAGTCTCCTCGCTCCTCCAACGACGCCGTTCTGCTATGGATTGCCATCATAGCAACACTGGGGAACATAGTGGTGGTCGGGGTGGTGTATGCCTTTACCTTCTGAAGGCACCGGGATGCCGGAGCTGTGGGGAAGCCCTTCATGCACTGGATTCACCCAGCAAGGCTATCCACGTGGCTCTATCTTGCTCCCAGCCACTGGAGATGCACCTGTGTTCTAGACCTAGGCTGGAACAGCCTCCGGAGGGGCAGCCACCCTGCATCTGTAATTCTCTCCAGGCAGCTCTGATTTAGAATATCCTGGGTTGTGGCTGAGCTGATTCAGAAAGCCTGGAAGTTGGTGCTTCCAGCCCCTAACGGCTTGATGGGTTAAAGTCTTCCCAACAGCAGGCTGAACGGTTTTTGAATTTTCAGTCGGTCCCAGAGCACAAGACCAAGGCTGAGCCTCCTATTAGGTTTAAAAGAAAATGTAAAGCTGGTTTGGCGACGCTTTCCTAGCAGTAAATGGTCACGTGTGTGTCGTATTTCCTGCAGACTTATTGAACCCAGTGTGTGGGGGCTGGGATAAGAAGAACTCTCACAAGTTAGGATTCCCACCTTTTCCATTTTATGTTCTGCCACTTGGAATATTGATGGCGACGATGTAAGGTAACAGAATGCTGTGAAAACCGACTCATAAATGGTACTTTGTCACCAGATACTTGGTCCCTTGCAGGACCCAAGTGCATCAGAAAACCCAGGGTCTGGGATGAAGTTTCTGATCTTTTCAAAACAAGCAGAGGATGCCTTCAAAATTTAGATCCCCAGGCAACTAACCCTTCACTGCCCAAGCGAAGTTACCATCTCTTCTTTGAGGATTCATGGAAGCTAAAGATGAGTTAGTCATGTCCCTTCATCGTTGGACAGATTTCATGGAGATGGACACGGTGATCGTGTAGTTAGGTAATGGTGGAGTCAGAGCAGCAAGGCATTTCCTAATCTGGCTGAGTCTGGTCTCCACCCTAGCCAAGCTCTCCAGTGAGTGCATCCCCACCTAAGCAACCCAGGCAGCGATGGGATCCCTGGGAGGTGTCCAATGTGGGGACTTCCCAGGTCATCCGTGTCTGTGCTGTAAGATGGTGTAGACATTGTGGCCTCCCTCACAGGTCTGACTCCCCACATCTATCAGCATACTTGCAAATGCTTTGGCCCCAGGGGAAGCTGTTAGGACCGAGAACTGGCCCACCCTCCATAGCCAAGAAGTAGGAGTGTGGAGTGTCTGCTAAGATGCCCAGGATCATCCACAGGGCAGGATGCTGGGCTGGCAGTTAGCTGGAAGTTGCTGGATGTTTGCTCTGACTTCCACCTCTCCAGCAGGACCCTCCTCGTACCCCCGAGGCTTTTCCTAGACCAAGGAGAGGCCGTCCACCTCATGAGAGAACCCAGGTCAGGGATGGGGGCAGGAGTGTACTGTGGTGTCTTCATGAGGCACCTCTGTCCCAGTGCTGTCTGATTTACCGCAGGGGAATAACAGTCAGTGGTCCATCCCCTGCCTTGTCTCCATGGAAACAACAAGTTGAGAAACAACAGCATCTGTGCCTGCTGTGATGAGAGAGGAAGAAACAGAAAAGAAAAAGACAGCTTCCAGCCTTGTAAAGTATTGGCTTACACACACACACACACACACACACACACACACACACAGAGTTAAACCCATGCCGATGTCTCTCCCGCTCTCCTGGGTCAGAGCCACAGATGGTTACGAGCATTTAGAAGCCCCCTTTGCCCATATGACATCAGCTGGTCCCATTCTGCCCTTCTGTCTCCTGCAATTTCCTCTCTAAAGTTCCTCACTACACAGAACAGCAAGAAGTAAATGACAGGCTTCAGCCAGAGTAGCCAAAGTGAACCTTCTGGCTTGGTCACCAGGGAAGGAGCAAACTGGCCTAAGCTCAGTGCTTGAGTGCTGCGAGCAGGCATGGTGCTAGATTTCCATGCACGGCCTTCATCCTCTGTCCCCTCACAGCACAGTGCCCGAATGCATGGGAAGGAAGCCAGAAACTCAGTGCAATGGAGTTCACTTGCCTGAGGCTACACAGCGTAGAAGTGAGGACCTGGGATTGGAACCTGGGAGGCTAGACACTGCAGTTAGCCCTCTCTGAGCAGTGTCCTGCCTTTTGAGGCTGAAAGCACCACGGATGGACATTTGAACTGGTCTTGAATCTTCAGAAGGTGTTTCCCAAAGTATCACAGTCTGGGCCATCCATGGTGGTCAGATCATCAGAATGGGGCACACCTAGACTTGAGGTGCGGTCCTTCCCCCACCCGGTTAAGACTGACCTTGTGTCTCCATGCTCGTCTCCAAGGAGGGTCCCTGAGGTAGGGTTTCTGGGGTGCATGTAGAAAGGGTCCCCAATAAGGTATGCAAGCCCATTATGAGCGTTCCAGTGGACAGCCCTGAGGTCAGAGCATGGGGCTCGCCTGTGTGGCAGGTTGACCTAAGCTGGGGTACAGTCTTTCTGTGAGCCTCAAAACTCTCCAGAGCAGGGAATGTGGACCTTCCTTGGGAATCCCTGGAGAAGATGGGCCCCAGAACCTCCTTAATTTGACAGGAAAAACCTGGCCTTTTGTATAGCTGGCCCTTGGAGAAGAAGTACTGCATTTGCTGGAATGTTCCATGGTTCATGAAATCCAATTAGAGAGACTAATGAGTCCCTTTCCCTACCCTACCCAAAGCAAGCACTGTCCTTCCTTGCTTGAGTTTCTAGAATCCTGGGGAGCAGGAAAGGGAGCAGATCAGTGCCACACAGAGAGGCAGCAGGCCAGCATCTTGTCCTGGTTTGGATGTCTGCCAGCCCTCCTTAGCATTCTCAGGATCTGTCTGGGAGCCAGAGCCATTCGGCTGCATGTGTGCTCTTGGCACTCTGGTCCTCTCTTGCAGGAGCGTAGCCTCTCTTTGGGATCAATGGGTAGCGAAGTGGCTCATCTCTCCTGCTGCCTGTCCTACTGATAGTTCATATACTTCGCAAGTCAGGGCCAGGGAGGAACAGCCAGTGACTGAATAGCACGTGTGTACCTGTACCAAGTCTTTCTACCCTCTATTTCCAATGACCACTCTGTGCAAGGTATGGAGGAGAGGGTTCCGAGCTGGCACTGAGAGCCCAGAGGTGCGCAGAGAGGTGGGCCCCCTCTAAGAAGCCCAGAGCAGTGAAATTATGAGCCCTGGGTACTCCCTGCACCTCCTGATAATCAGAGTATGAGCAAGAAGTGTCATGGCTTAGAGAGTGAACCGCACAAACCACAGGGCTAAGGGCAATGCACAGTATTATCAGGGTGACAAAACCCTGTCATCTGTCAGGACAGATGGGGCTACCTATGTTCTATGTCTGAATCGTTTGTCCTGGCTCACTATGTATGTCACCTGTGGTTTTTGTGGTTTTTGATAGGAAGTAAAACCAGAGGGCTGGGAGATTGCTCAGTTGGTAAAGTGTGAGGACCCAAGTTCAGATTCCTCAGAATCCACATTAAAATAAAAGGTCTGGGCAGAGTGGTGTGTGCTTGTAATCCCAGCACTGGAGCGTGGAGCCAGGCAGATTCCTGGGGCTCACTGGCCAGCAATTCTAACCAAAAGGTTCAGGTTCACTGACAGACCCTGTTTTTTGAGTTTTGTTTTTGTTTATTAAATCTGGGGTAGGTAAGCGATTGAAGAGGAACCTGAAGTCAACCTCTGGCCTCGACAGGCAACTGCATGAACATGTGTGCACACATACACACGTAGACAAGATAGAGGGAGGCAGCAGAGAGGATAATCAGAGGGCGCAGGCCTTGGGTAGACGGTGTAGGTGCACCTTGCCCAGGACAACCTGGCACAGTGGTGTCCATGTGCCTGCCTAGGTCACAGCATTGAGAAGGCGTAGTCTCAGCCTCTGGTTCTTCTTCCAGCCAACTCTGCCTCCAAAGGGTTCAGACCTGCTTTTCCGTGGGTTAAACTCCACGTGTGCAGGGAGCGTCTGTGCTTTGGCCACAAGGCACGACAGAGCCCTGCTTCTACATGAAGCCCTCTGTCTGCTGGAGTCGCCCAAGTCGCCGTGTCTGCCTCCTGGATTCTTTCTTCGTTTTTTAGACTCGCATGCTGTATTCGGCCACATGTGACTGAGCATAACTGGATCCCACCCAACCCAAAAATCATACACTTAAAATGTTATGAGGTTTTTGTCTTTTGTAACCCAGTTATCCAGTTTGGGGTGAAAACTTTCCAGTTGGCATCGCTGTGTTGAAATGTCCAAGAACTGGGCCTGAGAATCGCTGCTTTGTAGTTCACAGTGTGTTCTGTTCCACCAATGGTTCTGGGTGGAGGCTTTCCAGAGAGAGCATGGAAGCCCAGCTCTGGGGACATTGCCAGGTGGGACTGCTCAACAGAAGAATGGAGTCTTGTCCCCAGAGCGCCCAACCACAGAATTCCCATGGTTCTACATTTCAGGCGCCCTGTTTTCCTGAGGGACATTTGGCAATGCCTAGAGACCATTCTTGTCACAATTTATGGAGGCGTGGGGACCTACTGGCATCCAGTGAGAGCAGGCCAGAGGTGCCGCTTATCCACACACAAGACAGACCAGTGGCCAAGTGCTATTCAGCCTCCAAATGCCAACAGTGCCGAAGACGGGAGAGCCTATTTGGACGTAAGAGTCCAAAGCAACGGAAAGTTCTCAGAAGCTCCAATGGCCGTGCATGAGTCCCCTCATGGATCAGGGCAGATCAAAACAGAGATCACCACGATTGCAACAAGTTGAGAAAACTCCAGGGGCAGGATTGGACCTTGGAAGCCTACGTGACTGTTTTCCTTTGGGAAGACCCCTACCAGGATGGAGGCAACCCTACAATATGGCCAGAATGCTGAGGCTGATCTTGTCCCCCACCAGTGACTGTGTCCAGGTCCTCCAGTGTCTGACCCTCACAAGTGACCCTGAGAAGCACAGTTGGTGGAGAGATTCTGCTGGGGACAGGGAGGCTGGGAAACAGGAACCGCTGACACAAAGTTCAGGTCTCCTTTCTGACCCTCCCCGCATCCTCCAGCCCTGCTCCCCAAAGCTGAAGGCCTACTAACTCTTTCTACTGTCTAAATTCTCCTGGAATTCTTATTTGTCACCTGCCACCCACAGATTCCTGTTCTTTGCGTGGCAAGCATTGGCTGAGCTTCTGTGGTTTGTGATACTTTCCTGGACAGCTTATAAACACATATACGTGACATGAAGTTATTTTAACTATTGTTCCAGGTTCTCCCCACCCAGGTGCCCAGTTCCTCTGTGTGTAGCTGGCTTTTACTGCAGTGGGAAGGTTCTTTGCTGTTGTAGGACTTCAGCGTGCTCTTTAGTGAAGGTGTGGCTAGGTAACACTCCCTGTTAGCTTTCCTGCTATGGTTGTCATTTTCTATCATAATAAACAGAACAGAGGTTTAACTCTGTCTGGCTCTCGTCTGCTTGTCTTTGAAAGCCATAGCTGCAGGATCCACTGAGGTAAGATAGGTTCCTTCCTCCCCTGCGCCCATCTGAGCTCACTCCACTGTCACAGCTGAGATAAAAAGGCAGAGGCTGTATATGGCCACCCATTGGTTCTCCTGACTCCTGCCCCACCATCTGAAAGCAAAGTTTATCTCCCTCAACGTTCCACCTTTGGGACCTACACTGTCTCTCATGCACAGAAGTACCCAGCAGATAGACATTCAGAGAGTGGATTGAATGAATGAACGATGCCCGAATGGCCAGCTTAGTATATTGCCAAGGAACACCAAGTGTGCAACTGTAGTGGTGTCCGTGTATTCACTAGTCACAGAAACACCAGAAAACATCAGGAGTAGAGACTTATACCTGTAGTCAGCAGCAGTAAGGAGGCTGAGGCAGGAGGATCTCCACAAGTCTGAGGCCAACCTGAGCTACTAAGTGAGGCTCTGTCTCAGCAAAGAAATAATGAAGCCTAGAAGAGAAACATTGATGTAGCAATTACCTGTCTGGTATTCTGAGCTCCTGGCCTGTATATCAGCTTTTGGGTGTAGGTACTGCTGGTATCTCCATTGCACAAATGAGGAAACTGAGGCAAAGTTACCCAAGGCCTGCACCTGATAACCAGGTCTGGAAATTGACTCTGGGATCATGTCACGAAGGTTGGCAGGCAAGGCTGGCCTGCAAGAGGACAGAGCAGAACTTGGCCACCAGAGCCCACCTGATGCCACAGGTAAATGTGCCCAGTTTCTTTGCGGTGTTAAGCACCCACCTTGGCAGCAAGGAGTCAGTGGGCTCACTGAGGACGCGGGGGGGACGCCGCCTTGCACATCTGGAGGGATGAGGGTCTAGCTGGGCGTGCTTCCAGTAACAGAACTGCTGGAGCCAAAAGGTAAAGGCAGGGAAGACATGAATAGGAGGATAAAATTTGCTGCAAGGACCTGGAATATCAGAATGAGGAGCCTGGGAGGTCAGTGGCCACCGTCAGTGTGTCCCCGAGAAGGCCAGGCTCGGTAGAGGCAGGAAGTCTCTGGAGACAAAGTGACAGCTGTGTCAGGGAACCAAGCAGTGACTCCAGTTCCGTGTCTTAAGCCTGCTTCTGACCCTGCCACCTTCCCTGCTCTATAAAAACCTCTACCAGTGCCTCGGGGCTCCCCCCTCATCGTGTGTCTGGTGAAGACAATGGGGCCCTCATGGTGCAGTGTGGACTCTGTTCTCCTGACCCACCTCCAGCCTTTGGGACCCCCAGGAAAGGCTGTCCGTGAGATCGTTTTCTCCACAGGCAGTGTCCACAGCCCAGTGCTGCTAACTTTGTATTTTAAGCAGCTACAGCTGGTCCAGCCCAGGCCATTGTCCATTTCCGCTGAACCATTGTCCACTTCTCAGCTCCACCCTGCCTGCCAGCATTTGTACTGCATTTGGGGACTGACAAACTTGGCGTGTAAACACATGCCTTCGCGTACCGTGTCCTGCCCCCAGGGCATCTTGGCTCATGTGGGACGAGGCATGTTTGTTGTGATACAAGTCCACGTGGGCGTGAGATCTGAGATACGTGTGTCAACAGCCCAAACTGCCCCAGTCCTGGATCCTGCTCATCTGTGGGTAGCTAGGCAACTATCTGTCCTCCCCAGGCCTTCCCTCCCTGTAGGGTGCACCCCTGAGGGCACCCCCTCTTTCTCATAGGCCCTCACAATGGCATAGTAGTGACTTCTGCATACAAGTAACAGGAAGCAGCTAAGGAATAAGTGAGAGAGATAGGATGAAGCAGGCACTCACCCCCATGCTGGCATCTGTGGGTCAATATCTTCTTTTATCACCTTACCAAAACTGGCTGCCCCTCTGAGGGGTAGGAAGAAAGGGGGCAGGACCCCAGGACCATGGTGGACTCCTCAGCCGTTAGTCTGTTTACTTAGCTGCCCGCTACCATCTCCCAAACCTGCCTTCTCTGGGATTTTTCCATTTGGCTTCTAATCACTCTGTCTCCTGCAGCCCCACGGTAAACATTTACGTAAGCCAGGATGCTGGAGCTATCCGTGCGGATGGCACAAATAGTGTTACCCACCATGGCAACCAGCACTTGCGTGGACACTGCCCAAGGGTCTGCAAGAACAGTCCAGGCCAGTCCTCCAGCTTCCGGACCAGAGCTCCGGGCATCTGCCCCCGCATGGCAGGCAGGAAAGCTGTCCTTTTCCTTCTGGGGAAAAACAGATGATCGGCTGAGAGTTGTGAAATGTGTGACATTGAGAACCACGGGCATGGGTACGAGGAAGCCAGAAAAGGCGTCGCACCAGGATGGTACCCAGGAGGGACACTGATGACCCCAGACCTCAAAAAGAGAAAAGGAGGCTGTGACCTACTTGACCACGGCACCAGTTGGATGGTCCAGGCTCTGCTCTGGGTAGTGAACAAACAAAGCTCTGTCTTTCTGATGGAGAAAGCAGAGGGATGCAAATAAAGAGATAGTTTGAGAACGGGAGAGCAGGGTGCGTGGCTCAGTTGGAAAAGTGTGTGTGTGCCTTGCAAGTGCAAGGACCTGAGTTCAATCCCCAGGACCCTAGTTTAAAAAAAAAGGCCATGTGTGGCAGTACACACTCGCAATCCCTTGAGAGGTGAGGAAAGGGGATCCTAGGGGCTCCCTGGCCATCCAATTTAGCCTACTTGGTGAGCTCCAGGCCAGTGTGACCCTGTCTCAAAATAAAAAGTCGATGATGCTTATCTTTCTGTTCCTACTGCTGCACTGAAACACCATGACCAAAGCAAATTGGGGAGGAAAGGGTTTATTCAGCTTACACTTCCACATTGCTGATCAGCATCAAAGGAAGTCAGGACAGGAACTCAAACAAGGCAGGAACCAGGAGGGAGGAGCCAATGCAGAGGCGATGGAGGGCTGCTGCTTATTGGCTTCCTCACCATGGCTTGCGTAGCCTGTTTTCTTACAGAACCCAGAACCACCAGTTCAGGGATGGCACCACCTGCCAATCACTAATTTAAAAAAATGCCCAGCAGCCTTGCATACAGCCCAGTCTTATGGAGACATTTTCTTAACCGAGGTTCCCTCCTCTCAAATGACTTTAGCTTGTGTCAAGCTGACATAAGACTATTCAGCACAGTACTTTAAAAACAAAACCCTAAGTTTTTGTCCAGACTCTGCATGCATGCACACACACGTTCACATGCACTTGCCCACATGTACACATACAAAGAATGGAGTGGCATATAGATGCTGAGGTGTGGGGAATTAAAAGGAGAATGGAGCTTCAGGGGATGCACTGTGACTTGAGGTCTGCGGTTAGGGCATTTGTGACCAGGGAGAGGTGACACAGAGGCTCAGGCACAATTTTGAAAGTGACCTGAGTTGCTCCCATGTGCCGACATCTTGAACCCAGTCTTCCAGACTCCAGAGCTGCAAGAAATAAAATTTTGTTTATAAACCATCTGTGCCCTGGTGCTTTGTTGCAGGAGCCAGAGCTAAGACATTGCACAAACACATGAACGTGCCATGGTCAGCACAGTGCTCTGCCCAGGTCCCCTGGGATACCTCGGTCAGTTCCCATTACTTTTGTGAAATGCCTGAAGCTGTTAACTTATAAAGAGAAGAGGGTGGGGTTGGTGAGATGGCTCAGAAGGTAAAATCACTCGGTGCAAAACCTTGATGCTGAGTTCAATCCCTGCAATCCACATGTCATAGTTAGGGTTTCTATTGCTGTGAAGAGACACCATGGCCACCGCAACTCTTATAAAGGAAATCATTTAAGTGGGGTGGATGACAGTTCAGATGTTTAGTTCATCATCTACATAGCAGAACATAGCATACATGCTATCCTCTTTTACCCAGGGGTGGGTAAGAGGAAGCCAGAAAAGGCATTACACCAGGATGGTACCTCAGGACAGACACTCACAACCCCAGAGTTCAAGAAGATAAAAAGAAGACTGTGACTGGCTCCCCAGCGGCAGCAGTTTGATGAGCCAGTCTCTGTTCTGGGCGGTGAACAAAACGAAGCCCTGTCTTCCTGATGGAGAAGGCAGAGGAGAAGCAAATGAGATGGTTTGAGAATGGTCTTGTTGATCCTGCTTCTTTGCAAACCAACTGTATGAATTTAGGGTAGAGGTGGTCCACTCTCCATCCTTCAGGGTCTGACAGTAGTTAGTGCTCCCAGGCAAAACTGCTCTGTTACAAAGCCCTCCAGCAAGGTTCCCCCACACCAGCTCAAGCCCCTCCCCACATGCCATGTGCTTAGAGTGAGCTTCATTTTGAGAGGGCAGGCCAGCACGTTGCCAGGTGAACAGGATGGTACCCGCGCCACGTGACTGACTACAGATCTGTCACCATCCATTTCAGTGGTGGGTGTCGAGTGTTTATGGGAAAGGGAACTTGGAGGGGCTTCTTGGAGCTGTGAACCCCGCCTCTATACGAATATCTAGAGGAGCCAAACCTCAGATGGCGCTGGGGCAGGTGCCAGCTGCCACTGTGATGCCCCCTACATCGCTCATCCCTTCTACTAGGGAGGAGTGTGTATGTAGATCTGTGTTTGTGTTCCTTCTTCTCCTCTTAGGGCGTCTGTAAGAGACCCTGCCATGGGCAGGAAGATCCAGAAGGCTAATTCATTCCCCTAAGTGCCGCGCAGAGCACAAGGTCAAAGGGAACACCCCCAAAGAGTTATGAGGTGAGAGAGCATATCCTGAAAGGGCAGAGTGTGAGCCATCCCAGCAGGGGGCAGTGTGGCCCTAGAAACTGTGGAAAGAGACCCCAGAAACCTCCTCGCCCCACCCTTCCACCATAGGGACCTCCAATGTGAACAGCAGCAACCATGAGGTGGCCTTTGTGCTTTGATGTAGTTTGCATGGGCTCACAGGAGAAGTTGCTAAACCAGAGGGTCCCCACAGATCAAGCTAACTGATGCCCCATGAGCATCCTTCAGCCCATCTAGATAGGGGCTAAGCAGACTTACAGCAGATTCAAA